AATAAAAATAAATTTTTTTTTGTTAATATTATTTTGCATTTTAAAGTTTATCATAATTCGGGTTTTCGGGTTTATTATAACCGAATGCTCAGTTTAACCGGTTTTATTTAAATTCGGTTTAAATCTGGGTCTCAAATTAAAAAAGTGATTAAAACCGGTTTGTGAAAATAAAACTGGTTCCAACCTCTACACGTAGCAATAAGAAATACGCTTATTTTAGTCATAGATTCACCAAAGGAAAAATTGTATTAGCTTTCCGTGTTATGTTATAGTACTATGGGGATTACGACTGAGATATGACTTTAAAATCATTTTCGAGATCTGATATAATTACACTTGAACCAATATTTACTACACCAAACAAAGTACAGTAAGCATCCTTCCCATTTTTTTTATATTAAATTTAATTGTTGTCACGAATTTTATAGTAAGTCTCGTTATACTGATTTCTGAATAGGGCTGCTACTTGCTTTATAACGAAAATTTATTCACAACATTTGAAATGGCATTCAATTTCCTTCGACGAGGTAACACTACAATGAGCTCAATATGTTTAGTTAATTGAAAAGAAAGGTGGAAAGCAATCTAGAATAGATTCATGTTTGACCAATTAGTTTGGTTTATTCTTTTTCCTTCATATTGTTTATTTGTGTTTAATAAAACATGATTTACAAGGTACTGAATATAAAACTAAACTTCATTGAGAGAGCGCCTTGTAACGAATCATATAACAGGTTTCGACTTATAGCATTGATAAATCACAAATCTTCTTCACACTCATCTTTTTTCATGCGCTTGTTTCTCCACACAAGTGGCATCATGCGTTTTATTATTTCCTTCTCATCTTCTTTGGCAAATGACATTGAATCAGTCCATGCTTTGGATAGTTTTTTAAGAAGTTCTGCTTCCTCACTTGTATTAAGAAAAGGAAATACATCTGGTGTGATACCAAACAAGCCTATAATGATTTGCTTGTCTAGTCGGCTCTTTGCTACTTCTGCATTCTCATTTGCAAGGGATTTCGATAGCATCTCTTGTCGTTTGGTTTTCTTAGCCTTATCACTAGTAGTATCATACACAACCTTCAGATTCTTAATCATACCGTTTTTATAGCCTAAAGTAAAATATAAAATGAGATATAGCCAATCCAGATTCATATCCAACCCTGCAGTTTGGGAAGTAATTACAAGATTTGCAAACATAACATTAGGGTCACTTCCACTATAGTTGCACATTTGAATTAAAATGCAGGTGAACTCGCCATTCAGCAGCAGAACTAGAATACCATGATCTATAACACTTTGTCCACGTTGATATTGAAGTGCTACATCACGACAAAAGAAGTGACGTAAATCTTCCTTTGTTATAGATTGTGCCACAACTTTAAAATGTATAAAAAATACAATGCCGCTCAACAGAAGTTCCATACTATCAGAATTAATTTGACCTTTGAGATAACTAACTTCTAACATCAATGCAGTCAAGTACTGTCTAACCGTTAAAGGATATGTGTAGATGAATTCAGGCAAATGTTTTTGCACTTGATGAATTGCATGATCCTAAGCCAATGTTAGTAAGATGTGAACAGTAAGCTCTCCCTTCAGTCCTGGTTCTACTATCCCTTCTCAAATAAAACTAAGAAGTGGTTCAATTGTTTTCTCGAATTTGATCTTGTGATGATTAATGATTTGTGCCGCTGCCTCAGCTACAAGCGGTTCTGAAAAATAACTAATAAAGACAGTTTTTTGGTCAGGTGATACACCCAGGCAGACACCCAAACAATTTGCAATCAGATCACTAGCCAGTTCGCCTTGTGGCTTAACCAAAAGACTTGCTCTTACACACCATAATGCAACCATATTTTGTCTAATAATTATTTCTCTTGGATTATGTTGAATGTTGTCTTCGAAGTTGACACCACCCATGAGTTTGCATTTTGCACTTGTTACTGCTCTAAATATGGCTGTACGTTATGCTTCATCATCTAAAAGGTCTAAAGTGTGTCCCCAAAGAATGTGTCCTTAGCGGAAGAATGTGTGTAAGAACGAACTCACATCAACCTTTCTCTGATGGACATCAATTATCAAATGAGCATTGGGAGGAGTTAAAAGCACGTCCTATAAATCAATAGTCCAATAGGGCGGGTACAAATTGGTAGATTTGGTGACATAGTGAAAAGATGGATCAGATACTGAAGGTGGCAAAAAATTGGCTATTTTTGAGACAGTGTCTAGCAAAAGAATAAATGTATTGACTTTCATATTTAGATCGTATCCAGTATTGTGGCAGATGCAACACAGAAATAGTGATACAGAGAATTGCTACCAAGCCTTTCATTTAGAACTGTTAACGATCGTGCTTCATCAATTGCAAATATGATAGAGACATCACCTTCTCGTAAGTAATGAAACATTTCAAGCTATTCCTCTAATTTTTTGATAACACCATTAATTTTTGTTTTAAGGCTTTTAGCAAATGCTGAATTAGAACTACTTCCTATCGGTGCTAAAAATTCCTTCTGTATAGTTAACATCCTATTGGAGATCTGCCCCCAAAAGGTTTTACCACCAAGTCGTCTATCATCTGTCTCATCTGTGGTAATCTGCTGATGATACCATTTGTGGAAAATGCTTTCCATTTCTTCACCTTTCACGTTGTTGAGAAATCCTACCAATTCTTCATAACAAACACATATATAAGCAATAAAACGTGAGAGAGCTTCATAGCGAGGGTAATCTGTCTCTGGCTCCTTCAGTATCAAGTCAGCAATTTTGAAAGAACGTAAGGGAAAACTATCACTCTTTCCACGCAAGCAAAGGTGAATAACAATCTAATTTTTTCTTTATCTAAATAATTCTGGAGAATTTGGGTATCATTCATTTTAAAAATATATAGAGCAATTTTCTCTCCTTGAGCTTTCTTTAGAATGCTTCGAATAGTGCTGTAATTCTTGGGTTCCATAATGGATTTAATGTAAATTAGTTTTATATATTATTTTTATATATAGAGGTAATCCTATATTAAATATGTTATTGCTTT